GATGTTAAAAATTAAAAAAATTAAAATCAGTTAGTATGAATCCTCCACGTTTGTGGCTTTTTTCAAAATTATTTCTGGTATTCTACATCCTTTGCATTTCCTTATAAATTTTAGAATCAATTTATTTCTACAGGAAAGCCTATTATGTTTCTGATTGGAATTGTGTTAAATCTAGAGGTCAATTTGAAGAAAAATGACATTTTACCACTACTGAGTTCTCCAATCTATGAATACAGTATATCTTTCCAATTATTTAACAGCCTGGGTGACAGAGCGAGACTCCGTCTCAAAAAAAAAAAAAAAAAAAAAAAAGAGTTGTTTTCAGCAGTGTTTTGCAGTTTTTAGTATACAATCCTTTCCACATTTTTGTTAGATTTATTAAGCATTTTGTTTTTTTGATGCAGTGTAAATGGTACTATGGTAGTATTTTAAATTTTTTAATTTCCAATCATTTATTTTTATAATACTGAAATTCAATTGTGTTTTGAATATTCGCCATATATATAGTGACTTGCTAACCTCACCTATTAGTTCTAGGATCTACTTTTATAGAAGATTTGGGATTTTTGTATGTAGACAATAATTTCATTAATGCATAGAAACAAGTACTGGAAGGAAACGTGAGGCAAATTCATTTAAAAAATGGGTATAGAGAAAGGATTTCTAATTTTGACTCAAAATCTAGGTATAATAAAAACAATTTGGTAAATTTGGTTGCATAAAAAACCTTTTGTGTGGAAAAATACCATAAACAAAGTAAAAATACAACTGAGAAATTTGAAGAAAAAATTTGCAACATACATCATAAAGGGCTAATATTCCTAATATGTAAAGAACTCTTAAAAATGGAGAGAAAAAAGTTCAAAACATGAAAATGGGTTTAAAACATGAACAGACCACACATACACACGATATAAAAATGGCCCTTACACATATGAAAAGGTGTTCAACCTCACTCAAATGAATGCAAATTAAGATTATACTGAGATGGGGAAAATTAGATAGTGTGATACCATTCTGATGAAAGGCTGTGAGAAGACAGCTGTGAGGGGTTTTCACCACTCTGCTCTCCAGTTCATCCTTCTACATAGGTTTCAGCGATGATCAAGGAAGATACATGAGGAGAGGAGACTGCCCGTGCTGTTTAGTGCAGACTTAGAAAGGATATTGGGAACAAAGCACTGGGGTGTTCTGGAGATGTTATCTGAGTTCCAAAGAGTGGATCTAACACATTTTTTAAAATTTTTCTAATTCCACAGGTTATTGGGGAAGAGGTGATGTTTGGTTACATAAGTTAAGCTCTTTAGTGGTAATTTGTGAGATTTTAGTGCACCCATCACCCAAGCAGTATACACTGCACCCAGTTTGTAGTCTTTTATTCCTCACCCACTTCCCACCCTTTCCCCCTGAGTCCCAAAGTTTATTGTGTCATTCTTATGCCTTTGCATCCTCATAGCTTAGCTCTCACTTACGAGTGAGAACATACAATATTTGGTTTTCCATTTCTGAGTTACTTCACTTAGAATAATAGTCTCCAATCTCATCCAGGTTTCTGTGAATTGCATTAATTCATTCCTTTTTATGGCTGAGTAGTATGCCATCATATATATATGTGGCATATATATATGTAGATATATCACAGTTTCTTCATCTACTCATTGATTGATGGGCATTTGGGTTGGTTCCACATTTTTGCAATTGTGAATTGTGCTGCTATAAACGTGTGTGCAAGTATCTTTTTCGTATAATGACTTCTTTTCCTCTGGGCAGATACCCAGCAGTGGGATTGCTGGATCAAATGTAGACCTACACTGAACATGCCTATTTACATCATCCTACAATTTCAGGTATATTTTCTCATATGATATGTGGCAAACAAAAGACATCTGTATCTTTTGATATGTGCTCTCTGTTAAGGTTGGTGCTGGTGCTTGAGAGTGACCTAAATTTTATGGGTCCCATCAAATGGAGCAAAAATCCTCTATAATTGACCTCAGATTTCATTAGGTGACAGATGGCCTATGCGCAGAACATAGTCTATTAGACTCAGAAAACTACCTATTGTCTTAGATCTTTATGACAAATTATTAAAATGTTTCAATCATCAATGCTAGCATGGAGTCACAGCCCTTGGTGCAGCCTAAAGACAGATGAGCCCAGACCCCTACTTAGAAACAGACCATACCAAGGTAGAGAGGGTCAGCCAACCCAGCCAGCTCAACTCAGCTCAGAGTCAGACCTCTGACACTCTAAAGCAGCATTTTATGAAAACCTTGTTTTATTGCCTCACATTTTATGAAGCTTTTTTCAATCTCATTCAAGGCCTGTAACTCAGTGAGGAAGTCGGCTCTCTGATATATTCAGGTGAAATACAATAATTAAGGCCCAGAGAGGTCTTTACCAGTTGTCCAACATCATAAAACTGTTGGGAAGAGCCATAACTTCAAGCTACCCGAATCTTAGTCCTTTGCTTTTTGTTTCTGAACTTATTGTGGCAGAATTCTTCCCAGAAGCAGGATCACTCCCACAAGCTGAGATTCCATTATTTCAAAATTGAGTCAGAAGTCTTAAGATTATGGAAGTAAAGCCTTGTTCAATTAACTAGACGCAAGATACAGAAACCAAGCTGGGTGTGGTGGTTCATGCCTGGAATTCCAGCACTTTGAGAGGCCAAGGTGGAAGGACTGCTTAAGGCTAGAAGTTGGAGACCAGCCTGGGCAACATAGAGAGGCCCTGTCTCTACAAAAAGTAAAAAATTAGCTGGGCATAGTGGTGCACACCTATTATCCTAGCTACTCAGGAGGATGAGGTGGGAGGATCATTTGAGCCCAGAAGTTCAAGGCTGCAGTTAGCTAGGATCACACCACTGCACTCCAACCTGGGCGACAAAGCAAGACTCTTATCCCAAAAAAAAGAATAGAAACCAATACTCAATTTTACATATGGGTTCCTCCTTCCTCTTCCATCATAGCTTTCCCAGTATGATGCCCTTAATTTTCTTAACCCTACTACAACCACCTCATGATGCACAGACCAGATTTTTCCTCCGCTGTTCCACCACTGGGACACATTGTCTTAGGTCTATACAACGTTGATCTAATCCCTGAAGATGAAGGGCTCACTTAAAAAAATTATGTATGTACTTAAAATGTATCTATGTCTGAGGCCTTTGTACAGTCATCCCTTGTTATCTGCCAGGGATTGGTTCTAAGACTTCCACCGATACTCAAATCACAGGTGCTCAAGTCCTTTAGATGAAATGGCCATAGTTATTTGCATATAATCTATTCACTTCTTCTGTATATTTAAAATCATTTCTAGATTACTTATAAGACCTAATAAAATGTAAATAGTATATAAATCATTGTTATACTATATTTTCATGTGTATTTTTTATTATTGTATTATAATTTTTGGACATTTTTAATCTGTGGTAGGTTGAATTTGCAGATATGGGACCATGAATATGGAGAATTGAGTGTTCTCCATTTTTTTATAAGCATAAAATTACACTCATTCCTAGACCTTCACCTCCTATACACTTCTGTGCTCAGGGCAGCTACATATTTATGAGGTAGAGCCTCCCATTCAATTTTGAGAATAGGGAATTCACTCCTGATATCAGAGGGAGAGACGAAGCTGACCTATGTGACACCTTAGCACAAAGAAAAATGCATCCTTCCCTCTGGACAGATGTAGCTTTGCACAACAGTGTGGCTTGGCAAGTGGAATTTTAGCAGAGTTGTAGTCCTGATAACTCCCTTAGCCAGCCATCTTCGTCTAACAGCCAAACTGCATGATCATACAAGGTAGCCCTGAGACTGGGATCCATGAAGATTATTTCCTTAAGATTTTTTTTTAGTAACTGACAAGGCAAGTATTCACAGTCACATCATAGTTTGTATTAAATATTTGCAAGATTTAATATCTGCTCCCAGTTTAATGAGTTCCATGAAAGTAGGGACTCCGTCTTTACTCACTCCATATGCCAGTGCCCACTATAGTCCCTGGCACACAATAAGCACTCATTACTCGTTCAATTCTCTTAATAACTGTGGCTGCAATACTTTGGGAAGAGCAAAAAGATTACCTCATAACTCTTAGTTCATAATTCTCAGACACGACCACTGTCCAGAAGTTTATGGCAAACACAAGAACCCACATGTACAGAAGAGTGAAAAAGACAGGCAGAGACTGCTAGCTAGAAATGTTACAAATTCTAGACCGTGGCCTACCACTGCTTCTGGATCATGTCCTATTAAATAGAGTAGCCATATAAATGACAAAATCTGTGACTGCCCCTTAGCTGATCGCTGATATTCGCACTTTATCAATGGCCTCCTCTTCCATCCAATACCATTCTTGTCTCTTTCTCCAATCCATTTTCTGTAACACAGCCAGTGTGAAAACTAACCTGATTGAAGTATGGTTTCAGTTCAAAACCTTTCAATCGTTGCTTACTGCTTAGGAGAAAAAGGTACAATGTTCTTATGCCTTTTAAAGCCCTTTTGATTTGGCCTTTACTTAGCTCTGCAAACTCACCTAGAGTCATTCCCTCTGCTTTCTATGCTCTAGCTATCTCCTTTCTATGCTCCTTTCACTTCCCTAAATACATAATGCTCATTGCTGCTCGAGGTCTTCAAACACTCTGTTTCCTCTGCCTAAAGTACTTGTTCTCATGACAATCTTCACTTGCTTGACTCATGCCTTCTATAGGTCTTAACTTGTATTGAGTTCTGAACACATACTGAAGGCATAAAGTGGGTCTCCCCACTTGCCCAGGAACTCTGCCTCCTCTGTGTCTTATTTTCCTCTGTAGTCTTGATCTCATTTTGTTCCACTGTATACATCTGTATAATCTGAGTAGCATCTATCCCTCTCACTACAGGCTGAAGGTCTATTTGGCTTAGCATTTATCCTCAGCATTACCCAGGGGTTTGACATATAGCACAGATCCTGATGTTTACTGAAAAAATGAAGGGACAGTTTTTAGACAGAGACATTTTTGAAACAAAAGCTTTCACATATTTATTACTGAATCCACCCTACTAGCACAGAACATATAGAAAAAGAGAAAAACATATTCCCAGTAAAACATGTACAACTATCCAGATAGTGGTGACATTTTCAGCTTGATATCGTAAGGTGATCGTGACCTTGATAGAGCATAAATATGTGTGCCATCTCAAGTGCGACTCCTTATAGACCCAGCTTGGTTCTTCTCCAGTGTCTCCTTTTGGAGTTGTACCTGATTTTATTACCAGGTTTCATCTGAATCCACTGGGGGATGGGACGATTTTGCTTTTGTTTCTTGGCCAGGAATCGCTTAATGGTGAAAGTCTTGTGAGAAGACATGGCGAGAAACAGAGTCAACCACACACCACTATGGCGGAGAAAGGGAGAGAGAGACGGAGACATTATTAACATAGAATAGGATAGGGTAACATGAAGAAATAACAAGACAAGAAAGAGGATCTTTGGTGTCACAGCGAGTGCTCACTGCCACTCAGGATCCCACAGGCAGCTCAGGAACAGCTCAGGAGCCAGCAGCAGTCTGAGGAGTCTGATGGCTGTTCTGGTGGATGAGCAGCAAAGGCAGGAGTCCCTTTGTTCCCCCTGTTCCTGACTTGATGCTACTCATTTCTCAGCAGCATACTTCTGCTTCTCTTGTTAAATGTCCATCAAGAGGAATTTTTTTCAACTTTTAAAAAAGTTACAAACAGGTAATACCAGTTCATTACAGAAAAATTAAAGCAATAGAACACTAAAAAAACTATTATCCCATCTAGCTAGAAAAAGCTCCAATATTAACAACTTCATATTATAAGAGCCTTCCAGTTAAGACAGATGTATATGCAGAATATTGTCTTTCTATAAACTGAGATATTGGAGATATTATTTTGAAACTACAACTTATCTAACTAATATGTGACCCTTTTTTGGCAACTCTTTCTCAATAATCCTTTACATTTGGAGGTCTTAAATCTTTTCCGGTGTTCTAGTATGGCAAATAGTACAGAATAGGAAAATATGGTTGAAAATAGAAATCTATAAAACAAGTAATTCATCCCCATAACACTTAAAACATGAATGTATACATTTAAAACATGCGATTCACTGTAAAACTACCTCATGGTACTTTCATGTTATTACTATTTTAAAAGTCATTGGCTGTGCATACTAATATTTTTATCTAATTATCAAAATTGACCACATTGCCATCTACTGAATTGCATGCTACCACTCCCTTTAAAAATCTTGGGCCCTCCATAATTAAGGAATATCAACCTGGGGCACAGAGACACAAGGAGTTATTTTTAATGATTCCAGTGCAAAATAATGTCTATATCCAGCTTGTGAGAGTAATTAAATGACGGCAGTAAAGTCCTACTGCAAACAGTGTTGGAGATATACAAACTGTATGAATCTGTCATGATAAAGGCAGTTTTTTCTAACCCTAAGATAATGGGGATAGTGGTAGCATGCAAAAGGTATGACTGGTTTCTGACTGTCTGAGTTCACACATAGTGTCTAACTCAGTCTTTTCAGATGTGACCCAAGTTATTATCTTGGCTTCTTTCTTATGGCTCACTGTTGTGAGATGTCTATTCTATGTCTAGCATCTCCCCTAACATACACGCAGGAAGAAGAGAAAGAAAGAAAGAAAGAAAGGCAAAAGACTACACGCTGTGAGGCTACTGGCTTTTAAGGAGTTTTACTAGGTATCTCTCTCAATACCTTTGATTACACCTTATTGGCAAGAACCGTGTTCCACTGCCATCCTTATCAGTAATGAAGGATGGGCACTATAGCTTTTTAGCTGAGTACATGGTGCCCCCAACCCCATACAAATCAGGTTCTGCTAAAGAAAAAGGAAGAAGAATGAATAGCAGAGTAGATAACTAGCAGTCTTTCCTATAACAATTTGGGAAAAGATAACTTAGGATACTTCTGTTAATTTCAGTTCTCAAAATAATCAAAAGAAAATAGAGGGAAATTTAAAAAGAGAAAAAGGAAGTTCTCAATAGAAATACTTATTAGTCTAGGTATTGAAAAATGGGGTGGATAAAAAAAGCCCAAACTGATGGGCAACCCATAAATATCATGGTAAGGAAATACTAGAAGAAATAAGAGTGCTAATTGTACCGTCTGCCCTTCAACCCTAATATCCAAACTTCAGACACTTCTGAGACAACTGCCGTAGTGGGGAGGCCAATGTCCCCAGATTTGTACACCTTCCCAGGAGCAGGAGACTTTATGTGCAAGGAACAGATAAGTAGGTAAGTAAGTTGGGGTATAGGGTGGGGTGTGGTTGAGATACAAATGTTTCATGAAATATAAAACACTGGAAACTAAGCCATAAGTATCCTTGTAGAGTTTACAGGTTAAGAGAATAACAAATAGGCCTGAAAATGACAAATGAGTGATAAAGATAGGGAAGGCACACTACTATTTCTGTCCAATCCTTTTATTTTCTTCCCGTACATTAGCAGCAAAGAACCTTTAGCTACCAATCACAGTTCTTCCTAAATTTACCACATGCTGACTTTAGCTAGCTATCTAGCAGACCCTGTTCTACCCTTTGTATATGAATTCCCTCTACACAATCTCTATCAGTGACTACTTGGCTCTAACCACTTCAGAAAAAAAGCTTTCAAGAATGCAGGGAAAGAACTAGACTGGGTTGCCAACAAACCCAGGGTCTAACATCCCCTCCCTTGGGAACCCTGGTTGTACTGGTTAGGGTTCTTGAAGCCAATCTTGTGTGAAAGTCTTCTGTAAGAAAAATTTACTGTAGTAAGATAAAGAACTACAGTAGGACAAAGAGTTTACTGCACTATTCCAAGTACTAGTTTCCAGTGAACAGGATGATAGGGTGCTCACCTTTGGAGACACTTTGGGCTAGGAGCTCTGACCAGGTATTTCCTGACAGTTCAATGCCAGTGACATACAGCTCTTAGCTAGAACTAACTTTCATGGAAACTTGTAAAAAGAAACTCAAAGAGATATCTGATCTGCATTGGAGACAGTGAAAGAACTGAAAGAACTGGTTATAATACCAACTGAAATAAGCTTATAGCCAGTAAGTCAGTAGTCCTCATTCTAGTACAATAGTAATGGTTATGAGGGCAGTTTTACCTTTTTTTTTTTTTTTTTTTTTGAGATGGAGTCTCGCTCTGTCACCCAGGCTGGAGTGCAGTGGCCCGCTCTCTGCTCACTGCAAGCTCCGCCTCCTGGGTTCGCGCAATTCTCCTGCCTCAGCCTCCCGAGCAGCTGGGACTACAGGCGCCCGCCACCTCGCCCGGCTTATTTTTTTGTATTTTTAGTAGAGACGGGGTTTCACCATGTTAGCCAGGATGGTCTCGATCTCCTGACCTCGTGATCCGCCCGTCTCGGCCTCCCAAAGTGCTGGGATTACAGGCTTGAGCCACCGCGCCCGGCCCAGTTTTACCTTAAAAGAAATGATTACACTTATTGCCCTACACATCTCGGGTGATTCAGAGGACCTGCAGGAGTTAAATTTTCTCAAGAAAATACTGAATCACATACCTCTGGCTATATGCCAAGTTATATAATTAGTCTAGAGGCTACAAATACAGTGTGGTATAGATCCCAAGTACTGGAGATACACCCTTCATTCTAGAAAACAGAGATGGGGAATCATGGTACCAAGTTAAAAACTGGGCAAATTCTAGAACCTGGATAGCCTATGCAAAGGTGAAGTTTATTAAGTGATCATAAATGGAAGGCCTGCTGCAGTTGAAAGAAAGCACATGTGGAGATGGAGGCTCATGAGATTTATCAAATCTCTATCAGATGCAATCATACTCGGCCATTTAACTGGAGCTGCCAGAAAGATGATCTATCCCTAAACCCCAAGACATACATTTCCTGACCCTTGCTGTCCTAAGCATAATCTTCAGCCATATCTAGATGATTCTGAGAGTTCACGGGAATAGGCACTAGTGCTTGTAACATCAGAGTGCTCATAAGGGTCCCATTCTTTAACATCTACATTGAATATCAAAAATTGGACTCCGGATTTTGGCAAAAAGTATAGGCCCACTCCTCATTCTTCTACTTACTGGATATAAGGGTCACGTGCACACCAATGGCTGCCTGAGGAATACAGTAGTGGCAGCTATTTGGGCATAACTAGACAACCAGGGCCATTAAATGGTTCCTCAAAATTCTTATTAGGCTCAGAAACAGAATTTGTTATGTAATTTCCAAAGTTCAGTTGACTGGGCAACCTCAGCAATCAGTGATACAGCTATTATATATGACCAGCTATGCAAAAGTAATACCAAAGAAATGGTAGCCATAATAAATGTGGTCTAAAACCACATGTCTTTAGATCATATTCTAGCTAGGAAGAGAGGAGGAGCATGTGCTACTATGTAAGCAGACAACAAAACACATGGGATGCAATAAGATGTATCTATAAGGAAGTGGTTAAACTGAGTGGGCTTCATGGTGGTCCTGGCTCTCCACATCTTTTCGTAAAGTAGGATTTTATAATAAGAAATGGAAATTTATATTAAGAAATTTTATACTTGTGAGAGCAATATTTTGATTTTTAAGAGATAAGTTTTGTGAAAGTAATAATGGTGGTGTCATATTGGTTTAAAGGTCAATATGTTGTTTTAAACATAAGTTATCAACTAAGGGTTGGATGGAGGTTGGCCATAACTTGCCTTGTAACTTAAGAAGTGCCATGGCTAGAAAGCCTCTGTGTGATGTGAAAAGCACCCTCTGTTATTTGTAGCTCGGAACTGGGAGTTCCTGCATCTTGTGGCTTTCTGAATCGCTGCACCCAGACTGAGATGCACCTGCTGCCTGTTGACCACTTCCTCTTCCTTACCCAGCCCTAATCACTGTCTTTGTGCACGTGGTTACAGTGAGATACTAGATCCCCCATTCGACCACCTGCTGCCTGTTGACCACTTCCTCTTCCTTACCCAGCCCTAATCACTGTCTTTGTGCACGTGGTTACAGTGAGATACTAGATCCCCCATTCGACCACCTGCTGCCTGTTGATCAACTCCTCTTCCTTGCGCTCCTGTTTTCCTTCCTCACTATATAAACCCCTAACTTTGTTTGGAGCAAGGAGATGGATTTGAGGTTTGGCTCTGTTCTCTCTGGTTGACATCAACTGTAAAATAATAGAGCCTTCCCTGGCAATGCTTGCTTCTTTTCGTGCGGCAAGCAATGGGACCTAGACCGAGACCCTAGTGTTTGATATCAGTATCACGAATCGTGAAGTGGATATTGTACTAGGCACACCTCTGCATTTTGTGAGGCTTTCTGAAGTTGTGGGAAGCACTTCTGGAACCCACTGTGTAAATATCAGAGCACTCTGGAGTGGTTAAAGGTTATATCAGTATTTAAGGTCATAAGGTTAAAGGTCAAAAAATATTTTTAAATATGGAACTCTGGGAATCTTTTAACAAAAAAGGGTTTTTGTATCCAAACCATCTTGTGTGTCCCATGTCTGATTAAAGTTGTAGACTAACAAAAATAACTTTTTGTTCCCCAAAATATAAACATCTATTGCTTTTTTTTTGAGACGGAGTTTCACTCTTGTTGCCCAGGCTGGAGTGCAATGGCGCCGTCTTGGCTCACTGCGACTTCCGCCTCCCGGGTTCAAGCAATTCTCCTGCCTCACACACCCAAGTAGCTGGGATTACAGGCTTGAGCCACCATGCCCAGCCCATCTATTGCTTTTTAATGTTTTGAAAAACCACAGTACTTTGAAAAATACTGTGCCTTATTAATTTATTTTCCATTTCTAGTAACGGTGGCCTAGGTTATTTAGGGCAGTCTGACAGCTGAAAACAAAACAACTAGAAAACTGGGTAAAATATATTTCAAATAATCTTTTAAAAAGCCTCAAAGAGATTACAAAATAGTAAGGAATTATCAGGCCAGGAGTAAAGAGAAGCAAAGAATCAAGAGAAGTAAACAAGCCTGAAGCCACTTTTTCACTGAAAGCACTGCTAATCCCAGAACATTAGGACCTCCATTTTGACAGCCTTTCAGGGTACAGAGGAGATTGAAAACAAAACCCTGGGTTCATAAAAGTTAGGGAGTCTGTCAGGAGACCTTCTCCTACAACAATCTGGGATCCAAAATTTCAGAGTGAAGGTGAACAAGAATTGTAATAATCTGAATGTGATGAGACTCCTCTGAGTTGTCCAGGAAATATCAAACTTTGAACAGGTGGGCCCAAACTTGTAGTACCTGCAGGTACCCAACAAAAGCAAATACGTAGGATCTTTGGGGCAAAGTAGCTTAATTGTAGGCCAGACAATTATTTCCACAAAATGACATTTCAAGTGCAATGACTAGCAGAGGGTCAAACATATCCAGCATATAAGAAAATTGGAATCAATGATTAAAACAGACAATAGAAAGAGATCATTAGAAACTCTAGGTAGGACCCAGCATCTGTGTTTTAAAAGGCCATTCAGGTCATTCTGATACATGTTAAAGTTTGAGAATCATTGCTTTATATTTTATCATATAAATATGCATCCCATAAAAAATACATAAATGTAATAGATCAGAGAATGAACCCAAGAATTTGCATTTCTAACAGATTCCCAGATGAAGCTGATGCCAGACCAAACTTTGGGAACCACTGGTATGAAAAAAGGAATTTTAGTATACAGGTAAAGACAGTGGTCACCTGTGGGGAGGAGAAGGGCTGTTACTTAGAAGCAATATGCATATATTTCCTAGAATGCTGGTAATTTTCTATTTCTTAGCCTGGGTAGTAATTATACAGGTGTCATTGTTAAACTACACATTTACACTTTAGTGCCTATTTTAATGTATAATGAGATAACTGGTTTCCCTTTCCCATTCAATCATATAGTTCAAATGTCATGGCGTAAATCCTGTCTACCATCATCCTGCCACCTTCATTTATAATCAGTGCCTAAAGTATAAAATGTAAAAGTTTGTCAAGTTCCAAGACATAACTCCTTTCACTTTAGTTTGAAATGTAATTAGTTCACAAAATTAAATAGTTTTGAAAATTAAGACGAGAAAAGTTTAAGTTTCTGAAAACCATATTTAAAGCATTGTTTAAAATTCAGATATACTATCTACCGCCTTCATCCCTAATTTAGAAGTATCTACAAAACTAAAAATAAACTATCTTAAATTTTTAACAAAGTGTCCACTTTTGAAAATTACACTTTAATTTTTTTCACAAGTTGAAAAAAAGAGGAAGAAAATCCTACCTTTTTCAAGTCAGAATTTCCTACTCCAAAGAGGCAAAGATGCTTGCTTCTCTCCAAATAAAATCTGAAAAGAAAATATCCAGTGTGTAAGAGCAACAGTAAGATCTTACTATTTTTAGTTAAACCTTACCTGTGGGTGAAAGTAGTGTTCATCAATTGGCCTGAAATTTGTGAAAACCTTAAGAGAAAATATAGGAAGTCTTTTTGCAGAAAGAGAGCCAATGACAAAAAAAAATTGAAATATATAATATTAAACTGATCAGTGCAGCCTGTGCTTGCTTTTGAATTCCCACTCACAAATCCTCGAACAACATTAATAAAATCTGGGATGTGTACACCTGTTTCTTGTGTTTATGAAAAATAGGCTCTTTTTGGGAATTAGATTCTTCCAAAAACTTCAAAAAACAGTAATATTTGCCATTTTTTGATTCATGGTATCAATATAGTTATTATACAAGCCCTCCTCACCTTTCGTTTGTGAGGAAACCATTATAACAGCTTTTTTATATACATTTCTTTCTCTCTTTTTGAGACAGGGTCTCATTCTGTTGTCCATGCTGGAGCACAGTAGCATGATCCTAGCTCACTGCAGCTTCAAATGCCTGGCCTTGAGCCATCCTCCCGCCTCAGTCTCCTGAGTAGCTGGGACTACAGGCATGTGCCAGCATGCCTGGCCTATAACAGTTATTATAGTTACTGATTCTGGCAGCTAGTCAGTAGCTGCCTATGCCTGGTGATGTACTAGACAGGTATTTGAACAACCAAATAGTTCCCACAGCAAGGTCTGTGTGTAACGCCTCCCTGTGGCAAGCTACTGGCTGAGGCTATGACAAAAAAATACGCAGCTGGGTTTTGTTATGCCTGTAAACATCACAACATCCGAAGTCCAGACACGTCTCCCCATTTATGTGGTAACACCTGGCCGGACCCTATTATACCTGTTGCTTTGCTCAGCCCCATTATACCTCTTGCTTGCAGAGAGCTGTACGCACACATCCCTTACAACGTCCTCTCCTTCCACTGTTGCAAAATGACTCTATGTTACGATGCCTAACCATTATCATATCAACTGCAGGCAATGTGGCAAGACAGTGATGATATGATGATAGCTTAGCAAGGATTGTTCCTGGATACTGAATGTTAGATCCAGATGGTCAGACAAGTGAAAGGCAGTTTTTGCAACCATGTGAGTTAATATGCTGCAATATAGTTGAGGATAAAAGATGTTTGATAAGCTCACTTCCTGAGCAGGTAAAACAGTGGGTTTTAGCAGCCTAAATACATCTCCTGGGAGGATTTGGGGAGACATGAAAAACCACACACACTGAACACTGCCAATCCAATGTCCTCAGTGTCCTTTACTCAAAATGTAACCTTCACCAAACCTCAAACCCAGTCTTCTCTGGGATACTTCTATTTAGAAAGTAATAATCTTTTTTTTTTTAAACAAAAGCATAACCATGGCCTCAGAATAGAGTTGATCTTAGGACAGCAGCGCTCCTCCTCCTCCTCATTGACAACAATACCTTAAACATGTAATTCGTTCTACAAAAGGACACCCTCACTCAATTATTTTGAGTAGAAAATTCTAAATTATCAAGACTTAGCTAAGCTTGTTATATTAAATGGTTGTTTACCTTGTCTTAAGGATAAAATGTGTTACAGTAAAGCACAAAGTATGTAGTATCTTTTCATTAATGTCTACAAATTGTACTGGATTATCAACCCTCTCTACCTTTTGGACTATAAAGTTAACCTTAAGAAACCAACCTATAAAATTTCTGCATTGTATCTTTTAACATAATCTGAGTTTTCTTCCCTACTCCCAGGTCACCACTATACCCTCCCACTCCCCAGCTTTTTTTTTTTTTTTTTTTTTGTGCCTCTGTGAGAATATCAGACTCACACATAAATAAGTGCCACTTAATAAGAGCTGTATTGTACCATCTAGGTTACCCAGTAAGTATAGAGAGGATATTAGTGATTTCCCTTGGGCTAGGCTAAAATACTTCATCTCCTACATATATTTTGTTGTAATAATCAGTTGACTTGAAAATCAATCATCCTACTCCGCCCTCGCCAAATGCTTTGAATATTCTTGTTGACTGTCCTGTCTTTCCTACGTATTCTCTTACAAGAACCAGTCTCAGGGTTTGTGAGATATTCTAGTCATTTGTGAATCTACTTTGATTCACATGAGTTGATCACATCCATGATGTCATCTTCAAAGCAAAGTTCTTTCTAGTTTCCATTCATTGGTTTTATTCTCTGATGTATTAAACCACAATTACTTTTGCACCAACCTAACAGTTTGGATATTTCTCCCCACCCAATTCTCATGCTGAATTGTAATCACTAGTGCTGAAGGTGGGGCCTGGTGGGAGGTGTCTGGGTCATGGGAATGGATCCTTCGTGGCTTGGCGCTGCCGTTGTGACAGTGAGTTCTTGTGAGTCTGGTAATTTAAAAGTGTGTGGTACTTCCATTTCCCCAACTCTCTCTCTCACTCTTGCTTTTGCCATGTGACGTGGCTGCTCCCATTTCACCTTCTGCCATAAGTAAAAGCTCCCTGAGGCCTCCTCAGAAGCAGAGCAGATGCTAGTGCTATGCTTCCTAGACAGTCTGTAGAACCACAAGCCAATTAAACCTCTTTTTATAAATTACCAAGTCTCAGGTATTTCCTTATAGCAATCTAAGAATGACCTAACACATTCTCAATCATTTGATAAAAATTTTCATCCTAAATTTCTTCTGTATGGCAAGTGGTTTCTGAGCAATCTTTACTTTTGAAACTGAAAGTACTCAAGTATTTTATATGCAGAGGTAGGGCTGTTCTTGCAAGTTTTTTTCTTTTCTTTTTTTTTTTTAGCACTTCCACTGTTACTGAGTCATCTGCATCACATGACATTTCTATCAAATGGGCACAACTGTCTGTATATTTCATGCTGTTTGTTGACTTATGAGCCCATGGTATCACTGTACCACTTGCTAACTTATTTTCCTTAGCAAGTTCTCTTTCAGCTTTCTGTACATCCTTGGTTGGCACATGGCCTAAAATCAAAGTGGTATTTAAAAGGCTTTTTTTCACATATACAACTCTCACTTTCTCTACATCATCCTGCAAGTTGAAATATTTTCTGTCTTCTGTATTTGCGACCACTGTCACAGTGGTTAAAAAGAACTCTGGAGAGCCTAGCACAGTGGCTCATGCCTGTAATCCCAGAATTTCGGGAGGCTGAGGCGGGCGGATCACCTGGTCTTGAGTTCAAGACCAGCCTGACCAACATGGTAAAACCCCATCACTACTAAAAATACAAGAATTAGCCAGGCGTGGTGGCAGGTGCCTGTAATCCCAGCTACTGGGGAGGCTGAGGCAGGAGAACTGCTTGAACCCAGGAGGCGGAGGATGCAGTGAGCCAGGATCACGCCACTGCACTCCAGCCTGGGAGACAGAGTGAGACTCCTTCTCATTAAGAAAAAAAGAAAAAAAAAGAACTGTGGAAACAAACTGCACAGGCTCAAGTCTCACTGCCACCACTTGCTATTAGTGTGACCTTGAAAACATTCCTTAGCCCTGTTCTTCCTTATTTTTCTAATCTGTAATATGTGGATAATAACATTCAACACCACAGGGTTGTTATGAAGCTTATATAGGTAGAGATTTAGTGTAGTAATGAGTATAAAACATTTAGGACAATGCTTGGCACATAAAAAACATAATACAGGTCTTAGCTGTTATTTTTATATCTACAGCTGTATAAAGCCTACAGTTGTTGAAATTATAAATGTTCCCAGTTTTAAGATTTCTGTGTTGATTCTATTGTACTAATGTCACTATCTTGACTATTTAATAGGAAGACATCACATACACAGATCATAAGCTCCTCAAGAGGTTATATTTTTCTTGGATACTCAATGATGCTCAAAAGAGTAATTGAGTACATGATAAAGCTTTCGTCGTCACACCAGATACAGAGCATTTCCTGGAGGCTGCCTACCATATAACCATTAGTGATGATTATAGGAGTCAGAAATACTGCTGGTTCCCACAATATCTGAAATAAAAAACACAATACCAGAGGTACTGCCCACGGCAACATAAACCAAATATGCCCCCAGGCAGCTGATAGCAAGATTATACATGCGTGTGTACACACATGGGCTTATTCACCCAGAAATGGTCAATATTAATATTCGAAGATTACTGCTACACTCAGCCATCTTCCTTTGATGAGAGAGAATACAGATTTTTATTTTGAAAAAAATTTTGCTCAAAAATCTAGCAAAAGATTTTTGATGCTCAGTTGCTGGGGGTAAAGTGTAAGTCTGGTGCTGGTTGAATGCTGACTACAGGTGTAGAAGGACTAGGTGTGGACCCAGCTCTTCCATGAGCGTTTATTTAGGTAATCAGATAAATCTGATGCTGACAGACAAAAGAATGGCAGATACTGAAATGATTTTGCTTATTCTCTATTTTAGGGAAGATTTCACAAGAACCCCCCAGCTTTAGTAAGAAACAGATGTTTCCCCCGTATGGTTTCTCACTATCTCAAGTGCCACTTTTGTCCATATTCAACATGCATAAATATTTCAGTAATTTGTCTTCTGCCCAGGATGTAGAAACCTAGAAAGAGCATCGCTCATATGCCAACAACCAGAAAACTACAAAATAATTTTTCCTGAAACTCAGAGGACTGAGGTTAGGAAGACCAACTGGACTTCCCCCATATTAGAACTAAAAGTCCCATATCCTGGAAATTCCTCAGATTCAGGCAAACTGGAACAACTGGTCACCCTACCTAAGGTCACAGACCAATAAAGTAGCTTGAAATCCAAGGAAAGACTGGCCTGGCAAAGGAGCAAAGGGACATGAGCACTGAAGAAGAGACATCAAGTACCTCATACGCTGATAAGAATTCAGCTAAAATTGTTAATGAATTGCTAAAGGTCAAGTGTGGACTAGCATGAGAGTATAAAACCCCTGTTAACTCTGATGGTAGTTTCTTTTGCTGTGCAGAAGCTCTTTAGTTTAATTAGATCCCATCTGTCAATTTTGGCTTTACAGG